GACTGCCGGAGGCGATCTGCGAATGCAGGGAGGGACGGAGGGAGGGAGTGCTCTCTGCTGCAGGGGAAGCGGAGGAGGGGCTCCCTCTGGCTGCCGGAGCCCCATGAAAGAGGCACTATCCGGCCGGCTGCCCTGTTAGCTGCGCGCGCTCTGCATTGGAGGAAGGGGGGAAGTCCGGACATTTACAAATTCCCCCCCGGACGCTATTTTTAGCTCAAAAAGCCGGACATGTCCGGGGGAATCCGGACGAATGGTAACCCTACATATACACATATATAGTATAAGTTTTAAACAAACAATTTAATACTGGTACACAGTGATGATAATTGTGAAGGTTGGTTGAGTTGGAGGAGTCTGAGGGTGGGATCTTTCCCTTACTGCTAAATGATGAACTAGCAATTGTCTGAGCCCTCAAGGGTTAACTCTCTTACTCTGCAAGGCAGCAGGAATGGAGGGAGATATGCGCATTTCCCTTAAGTACACTGCCTTATTAATTAGATCAGTTTGCTGAGACCGCAGCTGCTGCAATCTCCCTCGGTCCTGAGCCCTGCTCTATGGAAGATGGGGTAAGTGGGGTGCAGGAGCAGGGGGGAGGGGAGGGGAACACCCTGACGTTAGCCCCCCTTTTCCCCCTCACTCTCCCCTGGCACAGCAAGCAGGAGTCTCGGGGAGCAGCTCCATGGCAGTGGGGGGAAGGACACAGCTGAACTGCAGGCAGCTGCTGCACAGGGAATTTAGGGGAGCGGGGAGCTGATAGAGTGCTGCCGGTCCACCCTGGTTCCAAGCCCCCACCAGCTAACTGCAACGGGCTGCTCTTCCTGCCAGCAGTAGACCAAGCAGGTGGCTGCCAAAGGACTTAGAAGGGAGCATTACACAACTTTAAACGAGCATGTTCCCTAATTGATCAGCAACGTAACAATGAAACAACGTGATCGCGGACGACTTTAAGTGAGGCGTTACTGTAGCTTATGGTGTATTCAGCATCCCTGAAGTTCTTGGCTAATTGAGACTGCATGGTATTGTAAACAATATAGCATATTGTGAAATGGAACACTGAACTTGGATGAGAAGAAACACTGATTATTGTAAATCTTTGATAAATACTTATATAAGATAGCAAAAAGGGAATTTTTCTAATGTTTTTAAAATGTGACTTTAAAAAAAATTTTAAACTGAAAATTCTGGAAGAATTGTGACTTACTTTCAAGTTGTGTAATAAATTTTGGTTGATTAAAAAAATGTTCTTTTTTATGAAGATGATTCCAATCTCTGTGAATCATGAAACAAATGTAGATTAAAATCTGGAATTTAAAATGAGTTACATTTGTGATCCTTGAATAGTTAAATAAGGTACTGTTTAGTGATCTAGAAAGAATGTATGAATGTCTGGTTTTGGTTTTTGTAACACATCTTAAAGGGAGGATGCTTGCATGTAACTTGAAATCTAATCAATTTTTAAAAATGCTTTAAGTATTTCACTAACCATGAGTCCTCCTGCCGGGTGTTGTGGGTTGGTTTGTTTGTTTTGGTGGGGGAGTTTGAAAGGGGGATTGCAAGCACATTTTCCTATTTCTTTTACTTTGCTCACTTGTTGCTGTATCAAAGGCTCTCAGAAACAGGGGAAACTGACTATACATAAGATGCTGACAAATGCATAAAATAACTAAAGAAAATAGTTCTGTTTTTTAATCTTTCAGTTCCAGTAATTTTAGGTGTAACTTGTACAATAGTAGCTTTAAAAAAAAATTGTACTGAAGTATGACTCTAAAATTGGCATGGTCTCTTAAAATGAAACGGTAAAAACCGTTGAATGTGTTTTAAAGACTGCTAAAAAAGACGTACATAAAAAGTGCCAGAAGAATGACTAAGGCCTTGGCTACACTTACCCGGTAGTTCGGCGGCGAGCGATCGAACTTCTGGGTTCGACTTATCGCGTCTAGTCTGGACGCGATAAGTCGAACCCA